CATGAGAAACAGTTAATGATTTTTAATCAGGATGTTTAATTTCTTTGTCGGTGGTATTGGGAGGCATTTTGGCAAGTGTGAATATTCATATTATTTGTGTAATATTGCCCCCCAAAAATGTGAGTGACTAAGCCTGTTGATGCTTCTGACACTGGTTCTGGTTGGTTTATGGTGGGAGAAACATCTATGTCCAATGCAGAAGTGTGTTTTGTTGTCGACAATTTTGCATGTCCCTCTGGTAAAAGGATCATTTGGGTCCAAACAACCCTGGGGGTTTCAATATGGTGTATTTTTGTAAACTTAAGATGGGTTGTTTTCATTCAAATGAGAGACTGAAAATATTTTTCCTATGACTTCTTACATTTTGTGTCAGCACAGGTGTCTTTCTCTCAAAACTTGCAAATATTCCATGACATCAGGGTTCTTTTTGCAATGAAACCCAACAGAGGTTATAATGTTCCTGATGTCCCCATTACCCTAAATGAATGGCACTATTAAAGCAAACTGTATTAAGGAGTGCTTGAGGGGAGGTAACTCCCAAAACTCCTGAGTCAAATAAAATATTGATTTCATTGTCAGATAATGGGTCTGCTTTTTATGGCCTGTAGCTCTTTCCTTTTTGTTTTAAATCTTTTTCTTTTGCTTTCAGATCCTGTTTAGTCACTGTGAAAATATTATCTGGCGATTGCACAATGCTTGCTTCACAGCGATGTTATTGAAGGGCTCCACCAATGTTTGAAATCAGACTTCTCAATGATGTTGGCTCAAACTCCTTTCCCTCTTTTTTCTGATCTTTTGATATAAAATTTACAAGATAAACAAATAATTCTGTAGGAGGAATTCGGTAAAAATCATGCACTACATTATTTGAAAGAAGGAAAGTATTTAACAAATGAACATCATAAAGTGTTTTTCTAATAGTGTTTTTGATTTCTTTCTCTAATGGATAATGTTTTCAATCTCTTCATTTATTAAACAAACCTTGACACATCAACTGGAGCAGTTGTAAAATTTTCTTTCAAGATTTTATCATTGTTTTCTGATAGCTCTAATTCAAACATAGTACTTTTAAAAACTTCCTACCCACATGCTCACTTTCTGAAAGTTTATTGACTCAAGCACCGTATTTATCACCTTCAGAATGTTCATTAACAACTTTAAGTTCATTTTCCTCACTCTCAATATCATGATCTTCTGTTTAATCTTTGTAATTAACCTGTATGTGTATAATGGCAAAGTCCATTTTTTGCTATTTTGCTATGGGAAACCCCAAATATCTGTCCAATCAGAACATAAAATAGAAGGTGCACAATGGCACTTATAATGTAATAAATATTCTCTGAAATTCTTATCTAATTTTATTCAGTGGTACATGTAGGTATAGCAGGGGTTAAGGATAAGAGATCACTGATGGGTACTCCAAGTGTTATAGAAAGAATGGCAGTGTCCATGTTTCGCTATGGGAAACCACAAATACCTGTTCGAATGAAATAAAAAAAAATAGGAGGTGCACAATGGCACTATGTAATAAAGGTTCTTTGAAAGATTCAATAAATTTTATTCAGTGGTATTGGAGGAGTTGCAGATAAGAGATGGGTATCCCCCTCCCCCCTCTTTAAGTGGGAGTATAAAATGTATTTTACACTACAGCATAACTTTTAAAGAATTATATAAGGTATGTGAATAAGCTAATATATTGGTCATTACAGAATAAAGTCCCTTGTTTATTGCTGGTCCTGATGATTTTTTAACTTAAAATTTCACACAATAGCATCTGCATGATATATCCGAATAACTTTGGTTACAAACATCATATTTTGCTTGTAAGTACAGAGTAAAATTGGATGAAAATTACTGAATATTTTATTCACAACTAGGTCTGGGATGATATATCGAGATATCAAAATATCGATTCTGTGTGAGGACAATACACACATAGATACATATGTAGAAATATCGCAAGAAAAAAATTCTGACCTGACTTATGTTTTCTTTGTTTACTTATCATTTTGGGTTTAATATATAAAATAAGTATGCTCGATATAAATAAAGATATGGAATACATAATAGTTAACACCATTTGTATAAGATAATTTTGTTTTACAAAAGATATACAAATTCTTTAAATAAATTATTCTTAATTGTGAAGAAATGTTTTGTTCATTTCAATGTAAAAAGATTTCATAACCTGTCCAATTCAAAATATAGTGATACATATCATATGGTGGCTCAAATATCGTGATACGATACGATATCAATATAGACTAGAAATATGTCCATAGGACATGAATGCCCCGCTGAGGGTATATTAGTAATGCAACATTTTAACACAAATTGAGAAAAGTGAGGTCAAGGTCAAAGGAAAGGTCAAGGCAAAAAAATATTGATGCAGTTGAATAGCTTACATCAGTATGTATCAACATATGAAGTTTGATTACACTATCTTGAATGGTATCTTTAAAACTGAGCTAAACACTAATTTAAGAAAAGTGAGGTCAAGGTCAAAAGAAATGTCAAGTCAAAAAATGTTGATGCAGTTGAATAGCTTACATCAGTATGTATCAAAGTATGAAGTTTGATTACACTATCTTGAATGGTATCTTTAAAACTGAGCTAAACACTAATTTAAGAAAAGTAAGGTCCAGGTCAAAAGAAATGTCAAGGTCAAAAAATGTTGATGCAGTTGCATAGTTCTCATCAATATCTATCAGCATATGAAGTTCGATAAAAATATCTTGGATAGTTTCTTTGAAACAGAGCTTTGAACAGAGCTAAACGCAAAGTGTGACGGAAGGACAGACGGAAGGACAGAAGGACAGAAGACGGACATGACAAACACTATATGCCCCGGCCATATTCATGGCAGGGCATAAAAATATCAAATAAAAGTATCATCCCAGCCCTATTCACAACTATATGTTAAATTTCCTTCAGTTTTACCCCATACTTGAATGGAAATTGAAAAAACTGTTGATAATACTTGAATCGATTTGAAATTATCCCATATAATACTGTTTATTTCATCTTTATTCAGTTCTACATTTAAGGACAGATCCCTATAACATTAAAGCCTTTACTGAATAAGAACTCCTCTGAATGTGGTATTAAGAGCACTTAAAACATGTAAGTTTTTGTTTTCCTTCATTCTTCTTATAAGTGTATAGTGATTTCTTTAGTGGGTGTAAAATTTGGTGTTTTGCTTGCTCAAAGGTATGCCAATAATTTTGGCAGAATTTTTTGACAGACACAGAGTTCCATGACGTTCCAAAAGGGAGGAATTTCTTATTCTAGATGAGTTTTCAGTACATTTAATATGTGTAGGAGTTTTAGTAAAAACCAATACAAGATGGAAGAAAATGTTTAACAATGCACTGATCAAAGATATTCTTATTGTATTCCATATCTATACACAAGGGTGCAAATTTAGCAATTAAAATTTAAGCGGGCTACTATAAAACCACTAAAAAAAGCCAAAGTTAGCACCTTCCAAAAATTCCCACTATATGGTATGTGTTTCTGTTTTACATACTAAATAAAGTATTATCATTATTTCTATTATCAATATCTCAAACTAGGGATGTCAACGAGTACCCGGTTAACCGGGTACTCGATCGAACGTCCGAGTATCGAATACTAAAAATGGTACTCGGTTACTCGGATGTGTATTTTTTCTTATTTCAAAGTATATATTTTTATCAAAAACTTATTTATAAAAAAATAATGACTTAAATATGCATACCGTAATTAGCGTGTCGTCATCTACACCTGTAAAACACCCGTTATCGCCTGTGGCAGTGTATATACAGTAATTAGTGACCAATCACCTGGTACACAGCTGTTCTCACCTATTGTGTTCCTTAATTTTTGGATAGCTTCAATGATTGTTTTCAGTGAACATCATTTAAGTATGGTCTATTATCCTCAACTCATTTTTAATGTTAATATATGGCAGTGAAATCGGACATGCATAGAAATGCTGCTACCCACTTCAAAAGTTGAGAATTATTTAGAAATAAATAAAGATTCAAAAAATGTTGAAAGTCAGTATGCGTAGTAAGTTCAGCGTACACGGGGAAAACAGCCAACATATGAAATCATATTAGACTAGCAATCCCAACAACGTCCGTTCCTTCTCTTTCGCTAGTCCAATCATCACAAACCTGCGTAACAGATTGTCCTCCTTTTGCGTTGATGAAATAGATCCTAAACAATATTTTGTTTTTTGATGTATTAATTGTGTCTTCTGTGTTTATTTGATAAATAAATTTAGTGCCAAAAATCATTCCCGTTGGACTCGGTGTTTATATACATTTATAAAAGTGATAAAAAAAACAGCTTTGGAGTTTAACAGAGCTAAACGGGGCTCAAGAAAATCATAGGCGTCGGAAGCAAATTAAAAGTGGGGGGGGGGGGGCTAATTGAAAGAGAAAAAAAATTAAACCTGAAAAAACTTAACAAGCAAAAGAAGAAAAAAAAAGAAGGAAAATTGAAAATTGTCCGTCCAAACCCGAAAACCCTATTTCTTGTGTGTGTGTGTGTGTGTGCCGGGGTGGGGGGTGGGGGGGGGTGGGGGGGGGGGGGGGGTTGTACGATCGAACTTCTTTCAATACCATTTTTTTTCAAACGCTACCACTTACTTGTCTTAGATTAGACTGCAGTGTGCCTAGCTGTTGAAAGTGGGGAGAAGGGCTAAACTTATGCCCCAATGTTCAATGCCTATATTATGTCTAACCTTGCAAAAAAAAAAGTGGGAGGGGGACTAAGCCCCATAACCCCCCTCCGGAACCGACGCCTATGAAAATTAACACACTTGTATTTATATTTTTACCGAGTACCCGGGTACTCAATCGGAAAAACGTCCGAGTAACCGATTATCAAAAGTTGACCGATTTGACATCCCTATCTCAAACCCTTGCATATCTCTTGAAATTTTTCGAGATAACAGGTTTTGACTATGTTATCATGGTTACCATGAGAAATTTCTGCTGATCATGACTTACTTCTGGCCCGTCTCCAGAGGAATTCCCACTAAGACATTGGCAGCCTCTCGCCACATGGACTGTCTCTCATAAATGTCTGCTAAATGTTGTCTGATTGCAGCTACCTACATAAAAAAAATTCAAGAAATCAAGATACACTGCACATAATTTTAAAGGAAACACATTAACTAGCAGTATTCATTTCATTAAATTGCAAACAGTACACAAACCTGTTCCTCAAAAGAAATGACTCTTGTGTGAACTTTTTCTAGAGTAAAATGGGCAACTTGTTTAGCCACCGAGTCGTCTAGATTGGGCAGATGGGCACAGAAATCAGACAACAGTTGACGAGATATCACCAAACTCACATTCTCATTCACCACTGACAAAGAGAAGAATTTTGATACTTTACAACAGAACTGTAATGAATACTATACTACAGCACTGTAATGATTAATCATAGCATTACTAATGAAAGATTTTTCAAAATTTTCATGGATATTTCTTCATGTATAAAAAAGAAAAAAACCCTCCAATGCATGTTAGTTTTAGAATTGCTTTTTTATACTGTATTTGAATTCACTATGGTGATTGTAACAACTGACTGTCTCATCATTCTTTCCATTTAGATCCACTTGTATTTTATAGTTACACTTGCATTTATTCGTTAATTTATCTCCATTTTGCTAAAAGTGTCTACATACATGCTTCCACAAAAGCTTGCAAGCTTGGCACCATTTCACTGCCTCCAATCTTTAAAATGGTTTCCAATATCCCCTTGTACCTGTAAGTATGAATACATAATACTAAATTTATAAATATTTTGACTTGGAAAACCCATATCTATGATATACTATGAAACTTAAATACAAGGTAAAGTCGCATATCAAATGTTAGCTCATTATATATAAGATGCCTTGTGTCATCAATAATACAAAGGCACTTTTTTTCATTGGAAAATAAGAAGCAAGACTATAAGCCAAAGTAAGAAAATTAATTGCATTTTTATGTGTTCTTAATAAATATATCTGTGTATGAATTTTGATAAATAAATTCTCTACAAATTCAGAAATATGAGACAAATGCACAATCATGATAATGAAGTCAAGGTCACAAATTGTGGCAAAAACTCTGAGACTCATTTAAAAGATGTATAAGAACTAAGTTGCATCATTCAAGATATTTAAAATTCCAAATAAGTCTGTTTATGACATGTTGTCCATTCCAACCAATCTGGAAACATTGGGAATGAGGAATGAACAATGCTACAAACTTTGCTGTAGACCAGCCAACTCGGAAAACATTCTGTTTTCCTGTTCAGTAGGTATGATAGGTGGACAATACACATGGAGACAGGACAAGGTTCTATCTGTTCTTGTAGATGAATTACAAAAAAGAAAGCAGAAGTAAAGGAAGGACAAAGGAGGTCTGAAGTTTGTCAACTTTGTCAGGGCTAGAAACAGAATCCTGGGGTGGAAGGGTAGACTGTTGGGTACTGCTGGGGACTGACAATACGTTCTATTTCCAATAGCGAACTCTTCAAAATTAGAGGCACTTTTGGTCGTCTGACTGGAACAGCGGATAATACAAAACATGCCAATCTCAATTCAATTCTAAATGTTAAATGTATTTGTCGTTCCATTTAAAGAATAGAAGAACTAAAAGACATATGTAAGAGAGCGAGAACCCTTAATTTATCATCCATTAATAAAAAATACGACATTTCCGAAGCATGTGTATTGTACTTAGATGTACCATACGATAAATAGATACATAAGATCAACAATAGATATAAATTGATATCGTTGTCATTCCTACTCTTGATGCATATAAAGTCCACAACAATAAAATATTTCATTTGCATTTTCTTAGGGTTTGTTCATCGACATCCAACATATTGTTTACATGTTCATGTTACGTTTGTCCCAGAAATCCCGCGAGATTTGTACTTTTTCTGACTTTTTCACAAAAGAGCGCACTAAGAAGTATAACTCTTCCATAGTGGAAATAGAACGTATTGGAAGCAGATCTTATGGATCATAAGTAGTTCTCACAGGAAGAAGAAACAACAAACCAGAGACTGGATATTGTTAATTGGTCTCCATCCTCTGGGCAGGTTATTTTGCTGGAACTGACAGTGCCATGGGAGAAGCCTATGGGCAAAATCTGAACAAGTATCAGGATTTTGCAGCCGATTGTCAGCAGTGAGGCTTGAGAGCGTGGTGTCTTCCAGTGGTGGCGGAATGCTGAGGATTTGTTGGGCAGTTGAAGTGGAGGGCTTTATAGATCATCAGTGTAACTGGTGTGGAGAGAAGTCAACTTATCAGACATCTGGACAGAGAAGAGAAATGGTATCCATGTGGTTATAGCAGAAGCATAAATAGCAGTGGAAAGTGCGACACTAGTAACAATTGTGTATGGACACTTTTGTAACCATAACCATGTACACATAATATTTACATTTCCAAATATTTTTCCTTAAGATTCTTTGCAAATTAGAAAACAGTTCACGTTCTCATGAACTACCGCATGGATGAACAAGAATTTCTCCATTGTGATTGTACTTGAAATCAAAACATTGGGTAAACTGATCTAGATTTGAACACGATCTAGAGTCGGACAATTTTGATGCTATTTTTAACAGACTTCCTATAGTGAATTCATCCTCTATCATGATCAACTTAATCAAGCAATTCTTAATCTATTAAGAGTTGTCTTTCTTTCTCAAAAGTTTTTGACATTTGACCCTCGAAAGCACTAATCAACTGGAAATTCGAATATCCAACCGCAATATTTTGATTGATCAAAGGTATGAAACTTTTCACATCGTGTAAAAGAATTTAATTTGAATGTTTAAATTACACATATATTATGCACTAAACATTGTAAATACACAATATCTATGGTTTTTTGAAAATATTTTATTCTATTTCGAATAATTCAAGTTCAGATGCAATGACTCAATTTGATCTTGAGTAAGACGGTAAAATTTAGCTATCTGATGCTAAGTCGGACATTGTCCAAGTTTATATGAACCTTATCAAATAAATAATTGTTTGGAGAATATTATGAATGAAGTCAAAGATTCGAATTTCTTTTAAGACAGATAACTGAGAAATTCATTTTTTAAAATGAATATTAATAAAATTAATCAAATTAATTCAAGGCAGGAAGTAAAAGGCTTGATCATATAAAGCATATTGTATACTTTCAAATTAAAAAGTGCTTTTGATTAAAAAAAAAATCGAACTAAAAAGAAACATTTCAAACCTTTCAGAGATTAAAAAATGTGATTATTGGAAATATTTTTGTTTATTTTTTGCATTCAACAAGGGAGGGGTGTGGTGGGGTGGGGGTGGGGCTGCAAAGATGCCGATGCTTTATTACTGTAACTGGAAACCCAACAAATCCAAGTGGATGAATTTGGCAATAAACGCGGCCTTGAGTGCAGAAGAGTGACCAGCAGCTTTCAGTCGAACTTAAAGCAGGACTTGCTGCGGTTAGGGAGCAGAAGTGCACAAAGAAAGACTCAAGTAGGAATAAGTTCAAGCGTAACTGATACATGTCATAAGACAATCTGCTCCAAGACTCGAAATGGAATATTCCATTCAGCGAAAACAGTGCGACTATTAGTGTCTTAATGATTTTGAATTGGTGAAATGTACAGCTTAAAAATAAGGGGGGGGGGGGGGTCCTCTCCCCTAGCTTCAGGCATGTATACTAGGCTTTTAAGTAGGGATGTCAATTTTATTCGGACAGCTTAGTCAAATAGTCGGAGGCTTTAGTTGAACGATAGTCGAATATTCGTTGAAATTTAAATTAATTTTTCATGATATTTTCACTATTTGTCTTTTATAAACTAGTTATACAATATTTAATCTACGCTATCACCATTATACAACGAATTTCTTAAACATCTACGTAGTACAATAAATACAGTACATCTATATTTATCCGATTTATTTGATTTCAAAATTAATATAATATTTATTGCACATTTTATCTAAATGCAGGATATCAAACGCTCGCACTTGTCCTTTATTTTCATAATGATAGTACATGTACCCGTTAATTGAAGCCATTTCTACGTGTTGGGTCAGTGACCTTTGACTGGTAAACAATTAAAGCGTGTCTCTTATAAAAACAGAGAGAGCTTGCATTAAATTTTAATTATGAGAATTTGTGCAAATAATCAATACAATCTTAAAATGACTGCATGATATTAATATCAGAAAGAAACATCATTTAATTAATAATTACGCTCATAACTGTTCCCCAATTTACATGTATTAACAATTTTGAAACAGCTGTTTAATAGCTGCATTACGTCAGATCTTATGGAATTGCAGGTTGAAACTTTATAATTTGAATTCTTGAACGTCCTGAGCTCCATTTACAACAACAAGTGGTTGACAATCCTTGATAATCATGTTTGTGATAGCATCATTTTTCTTTCTGGGTCTGCTTTTTTTTGGAATTTTTTCGGAGAACTTACTTAAAAAAAGTCTCATTTGAAGACTGTGTTTACTACATGTATGATTGACGGATTCGGCATATGATATACATCATATTTGATGTTCCACTGCAGAATACAAGTTTCACATAACATTGATAACGTACTTTTAACTGTTTTTTCCATGCTGATATCTTTTAAACTATACCAAAAACTGTAGATTTTGGAGGCATACTTGCCGAACATAAATCGACATACAAATAATTTTCTTTGAACAGTTAAACCATACCGAGTTTTACTTACGAAAACATTGATCTGTATATAAATGAAATGGGCGAATCCAAGTTTTTTACCTTGAATTTAAAATTTCTTTTAGGTAACACATTTTAACGAATAACCGACTAAAGAAATTTTAGTCGATAGTCGGTATGATCGAACGATAGTCGAGTACTCGAATATTCGTTGACATCCCTACTTTTAAGTAAGCATGTATGGTTGAAATTTTAATTATAATGAAACAATGATGAAGTTAATTTATAAATCAACACGTGTAAGCACCTTTTGGTATAGTTCGGATGAAACAGACCCGTAGTAGGCGCTTATCCCATGAAAGGTTTTTCCGGATTGGCCTTTCTTTTTTTTACTTTTTTTATGGCAGCCCCCACCCCTTGAAATACGATGCCTGTGAGAGGTCCATGCATGTCCAATGAACACGTGCACGTCAGCATGTGCATATAGAGCCTAGAAAGCTAATTAGTCCTTACTTATATGAGTGTCCGACTCAATATCAAATGTGTCTGACTTACAAATGAATTTTTATATTGGTGGTTTATCACATCTGAATGCATTATAGGGGAAAATATCGAGCTTTTTCGGACAAGATCAAATAACATTGGGTATATAGACGAATGTGGTCTGCATGCGTAAAGTGAAACGAGAGTTGTCCGACTCACGATCACTTTACCCTAGTGAAAACTTCTTTTCTTCAAAAATGATTGTTGAATGACAAAAATTTGTGGCCAAGTCATCAGAAAAACAATGTAAATATAAGATATGAATTTAATTTTTGAGAATTCATAACAAAACCTCGTATATTTCTAAAACTTTGCAAAAAAAATTATTAAACTGAAAGTTGTACATTTTAACATTTTTCACCAAATTATGAGTCTTTTTCAAGCATAATTTTGTTAAACTAAACAGATACTTCTTTCGTGAGAGAGGTACCTATTTAAGCAAAAGATATTTGAATTTTGGAAGGGAAAAAAATTGTTTGTATTATCTTATTATTATTTATCTTGTATTATTTATTCTTAAATTGTACTAACAAGTGATATTGATATTATAAATTAAAAAAAAAAATGGGATAAACATTTATTTTCACGACAAAATGTAGCGAATTTAAAGCTTTGAAAATTGTCGTCACGTGCAAAATCCCCCATGGGAATTCTCAAAAGTTGGCATGTATGTATTAGATGCCTTTTAGAAAATTACATGTATTAGCTTTAAAGAAAAATTTTATATGAATGAACAGAAGAATGATGAACCTTAAATTATCGTCAAATAAAATTTTGTACTCTTTATTATTGATGTATTGCAAATATTTTTAATTAGGTAGAAATTTAAACCCTGAGGAATGTCAGCTGACTTTTATCAACAGTACAATAAATATGTTCAAAACATCTTTCATACTTTTTTCTCAGATTCTTAGATATCAACATCTCCATTTCCTTCCTTTTCATTTCTTTTATGTTTCCTTCCTTTATTCATCCATTGAATTTTAGATGGGCAATCTTTCTTTTATTGTTTTTTATCCCTCAACACTTCATTGTTTTCACTTTCATTATCACCTAATTTTTAATCTCCTACAGCTTTCACCAGAATTGACCAAAAGAAACAACAATTTCTTGGAAAAAGTCACATCATATATTATATATATATATATATATATATATATATATATATATATATATATATATATATATATATATATATATATATATATGAAAATTTTGAATCATATATTATTTGCGACTTTAAAATTAACCCTCAAAATTGGATAAAACAGAATTTTCTACATTAGATCACTGATTTTAGCATGAATTTTCATTTTTGGCCTAGACGTCCCTCTGGACTGGCCCTGCCTTTAAATAAAATCATGATATTTTGATACACTTGATATAAGGAATAATTTAAAATAGGATTTTTTAGGGGCACCCCTGCCCTACGATTGGAATTCACACACACACACACGCAAATATGTTAAAGCACCAATTTTTGCATGAATTTTCATCTTTGGTCTAGAAGTCCTTCAAGGCAGGCTTGTCCCTAAATCAAATTATGATATTTTGATATATTTGATCTAAGGATTAATTCAAAATAGTACTTTTTAAGGAGCACCCCTGCTTTAGGAAATTCACACCAAAACCTAAAAGAAAAATAAGAAGAAAACCTCTTTTGACAACCTGGTTCAATACACTACCTCCTTTCAGCCAGAATAACTCAAGTTTCTCATGTTTTTTTGTTTTTTTTTTGGTTTGAATCTACTAGGAGCTAACAATTCTTGACTTTTCAATCACAATTTTTATTTTTTTTATGGGGGCTTTAGTAATTTCCTTCAATTATCTATCTTAATTGTATGCATCTTCATTCTTGATAAAGACATTAAAGAGAAAGCAAATCACAAATTCCAATGTAACTAAAACACAGCCAAGCAGAACTATACCTCAGTATAGCACACTTTCTCTGCTCAATTGTACCCAAAACAGAACTTGACGGTGACCTAGATATTCTTATGATGAATATGTATTTCAAATTTCATTCAGTATGTGCAACCTCTGCAAAGAAAATGAATGGAAACTGTAAATAATTGGAATTTTCTAAGTCCAAGGGGCTTAATAATTAATAATTGTCAAAAATTGCTCAATCGTACCCAAAACAGAACTTGACCTAGATATTTCTATGATAAATCTGTATACCAATTTCATTTCAGTATGTGCAACCTCTGCGAAGAAAATGAATGGAAACTGTTGGTGGACAGACAGACAGACAGCAGCTAAGCAAATGCCCTCCCTTCTTCAAAGGGGGGCATAAAAATACTGTGATTGAATTTATAGTCGGATTTTCACTAGTCCCTATGGACTAGCGCTACATGAAGAAGTTTACTAGTCTGACACAATTTTTGCTAGTCTCTGCAGGCCTCTATGTGACCTCTAATATATAGGTGCCAACTGGCTCCTTTTCAAAAAAATTTAGTCGCCAATGCAAATTATTAGTCGCCAGGCAGATTTTTCTTAGGCGTCAGTTTAAAAACTGATATTGGTCAATATATAGAGACATGTCCATTTCCCTTTTTTAAACTTCTTCTCTGCTCTTTATTAAAAAAATAATTATATTTGAAAATGTTTATAGTTCAGTATTTTGATGATCGCCAAGTCAATTTAAAGTGGTCGCCAATTTGGCGACTTATAGAAAAATTTTAGACGCCAATCATAATTTTTAGGCACCATGGCGACTAAATTAGTTGATAATTAGAGCCGTGCTCAGACTTACGGAATGTGCTAATTTCGAACCCTGAAGATGTATTTCAAGGAGTATTTGACTTAGCCTCACTCCAGTGCTTGAATGCTTAATAAATTAATTTCAAAATTTTGGTAAAGGGTTCAGTCTTATTGTTTAGAATCATTTAAACAGTTTGCCTGCTAGATGCAGAGTAGAAAAGATTTTCAAAGATTTACTGTTTACACTATTAAGAAAACCCAATCTTGAAGTCTGAATTATGGGCCAGAGGGCTAAATGTTTTGTTATAATTATAGAAACAGTTTGGCTGCTAAATGCCAATGAGTAGAGGAGAAGACTTTCAAAGATGTATTACAAGTATGTTCAATGTATGAATAACTGAGCCCCACCCTAATGTCTGAATTGTGGATCCAGGAGGTATGAATTTCACACTTTTGGTAAAAGGTTGAGTGTCCATTATAATCATGCAAACAGATTGCCTACTTATCTCCATTAGTAAATGATGTATTTTTAACATATTATCATTTTAGCCCTAGTCTGGAGTCTGATCCCTGGACCCAGGGGCTATGATCATAACAACATTATTTTGGTAAAGTGCACACAGAGTTGGCAAAAGATGCCACACTACCGGAAATCACTCGTTTGGCATTGTTTGCAATTTTTCATCCAATCATATGATAACTATGGAAAAAAATACTGCAGTGTGGCTGGATTTAAATAATAAATGCTTTCTTTGTTCATCAATACGGGGATCAACAGTTGAGACGAGTATTGCAAAAAAAAAAAAATTAGCTAAACCGCATAAGTCAGGGTTGTCCCCAAGAATTTAAATAGCAGGGGGGATTAAAAAAGTAGAAGGGGGTCTGGAGTTCCTCCTCTAAGATGGGGTTATGGGGAATTACCAGAATAACCAGGTGATTTAGACATAATAGGTGGGGAAATCCCCTGGCCCCTGGGTCTTAGGGACAACCCTGTAAGTGGTCATGTAATTTATTTATGCAATAGTTAAAATAATCTAACTGTTCTCAGGACAAACCCTCACCACAGTTAGAATTTGTCCATTAGAGTTGCAATGAAGCAAAATGGAGTGGATCTGCTCCTAAGCGGTTTTGAAGAAATCAGGGTTGCACCAAAAATGACCAACAAATTAATTAAACCTTTTTTTATATATACTTTTTACCCTCAAAATAATCCATATATTGGACAAAATCAACACAATCATTTACTCAACAATTTTTTCTTGCTTCAAATTAACATGCATATTGACATTCAAAATTCTCTGAATTGGAACAACTTGACTTTACCGGTCCCAAGAAAAAATGAGCTAAAATATAGTGTCACCGTAGGCGACTTCATTATATATGAGATTGCTGAGCGATCTCAAACAAAACAAAAAACAAAAAAAAAAAACAAGAGGCCCATGGGTGACATCGCTCACCTGAGCACTGTGGCTAGGAAAAAAGCAAAAATCAGTTCAGTATTGAAAAGCTTATATGCATAAGTGGTCCAGACCTATCCCTAAAACAGGGGGTGGGGGGTGGGGGGGGGGGGTCATGATTTTAACAATCTTAAATCAACACTACCTGATGATGATTTCACATGAGTTTCATATTTCCTGGCCCATTGGTTCTTGAGAAGAAGTTTTTTAAAAGATGCCATTAATTTTTCACTATTTTGTTATTATCTCCCCTTGGAAGAGGGCATGGTCCTTCGATTGAACAAACTTGAATCCCCTTCACCCAAGGATACTAGCTTGGTGCACAACTAACCCTAACCAGTCGAGTAGTGTGCAAGACTAACCCTTTTCAGTTGAGTGACGTAAAGCACACGTCATAGTGCAATGTCGAATGAACGCATGGATCTGGGGACCAGTAAAGCAAAGTCTACCCCTGTAAATTATTTGTAGTTTATGCATAAATTAGAATTATTTTTCCCTTATTCTCTTTAGAGAAGTGGACAGGCTTTCACCTACAGCCAGGTCTAAAGAGAATACCAATATCAATGATTAAACCGAGTCTGTAGACAATATCGTTTTGAAGAGAGATTATTCTATATATGTCTCCAAAATATGTTTTGCTGTGCCAATACGGAGAAAATGGGAGTTTTTTTAAACTAGGTTAATCTACGTCACTTTCCCTGAAAATATGTAAATTCTCACTAGAATTTCCTCTGTTTTCTTACTGAAGTCTATTAGTCTATCATGTCTCGCTACTTTTCAAGCCCTGAACACAAGTAAGTGGGTAAACGTTTTAAATGGCGCTCTTAAGGATAGAAATGCTATAATATTGGGGTGGGCGCCCGTTGTTAGAGAGCAGTTTCGAATTTTCTCTGTTCCGTAACCTATTTGTAAAAATTACTACAAAACTGAGTTATGACGACAACTGTAACAACATACCAACCAAAGGTTGTTCAAAGAATAACTAAATAAATATTCATACTTTTCCGTAACATCTCTGTGTGATCCACCAGAATGTGATAAACTAGCAAGTTGCGAAAGCTGTTGTCGAACATTTCCGGCCATTTTGTTTTTATTCACGAGTCGTACAAAAAATACTTCGATATAGAATCCACGAAAATCCCCCTTTACCAAGTAACTGTGAGTGAATGATATTAGCAGGACTGGTTAGAACTTTTGCAATTTGTTAAAGCATTGACAAACTGTGAACCCTTGATCGCATACATTTTAACGAGATACAATAAATGATGATTTAAAAAAGGGGGTCGGGGGTATACCAGAATATTTAAGGAAAACTAGAATTTAAATCCATCACTGATTAAAATGTACTAAAATCATACATGCCAACTTTTGAAGATTCCGATGAGGGATTTTGCGAGTGACAACAATATTCAAAGCTCTAAATTTGCGACATTTTGTCGTGAAAAACAAACGTTTATCTCATTTTTTATTAATTTAATTTTATAATTTATTGATATCACTTATTAATAAAGCTTTACGGATAAATAACACAACCAAATTTTTCCTTCCCAAATTCAAATAATTGCTTAAATATGTGCCTCTCTCAGTAAAGAAGTGATATCTGATTAGTTAAGTAACATATTACGTTTCACCAAGAGTCCAAGACACATAAGTTGGTGAAAATGGGAAAATGTTCAACTTTCAGTTCAATATTTTTCTTTGCAAAGTTTTAGAAATGTATGAGGCTTCGTTATTGTAAATTTTCTTGAAAATTTTTGTAAAATTCTATTTACATTTTGCACATTTAGAATTTCCTAATAAGAACTTAAATTGAAAGTTTTTCTGACAAAAATACATGAAAAACAAATAGAGAGAGATAGAGAGAGAGAGAGATGTACCCTAGCTATCCATCGATGATCAATTTATTGTCAGTCTAACATAAAAAAAACTCTATTAGTCACTTTTTTGAAAATTCTTATGGCTATATAGGGACAACAGATTTCACAAGTGTATAAAAAAAATAGCCTTATTTTAATTAGACTGAAGATACATTTTAAAAAACAAAACAACTAAACAAGACCAAGAAAAAACGCACACACGCAGTATAACAACATAGACCGTGTACAGGCAATAATATCATGATTGCTAAAACAAATATGTATTTATTTTATCGGGAAGTTTTCATTCAAAACCAATCTTGATTGACGGAGGCTTTGGTTTTCCAAAAATATCCGAGGCAGAAAATTTGAGTCTTGTGAAATGCGCGAAACACTTATTTATGATTGTATGCACTACTAGCAAAAAGAGTCAGCAGGTTGTTATCACAGTAATAAAGTATTTAGCACAAATAATTAATTCATCGCTTTAAAACGCAAGAATATCTCTCACTGCGGTACTACTTCGCGGAAAAATTTTACGTTGCATTATGGGATGGTAATGGTGGGCGCGTGATTTTGAACAAACACAGAATGCCTATCGAAAAAACAGGTTGGAAAGAAAATATTTGTGTAAATTTTTATTATTTTTCGTATATTCCCAACAAATATAGACCTTGTCTTAGGTGTTAAAAGAATTTGGTGGAAATCGAATGACATTTTACACAATAAATCATGCCCAGATGTGAGGTACCCACCGGATTTTTGCTACCACGTCGGTCATAATTCGTGTTTATCCTTCAAGTTATAACAGTCATTAATGCTTAATTGTATTCTTAAGATGAAAACTTTCAGTGAGATCTGACTGATTTAATATTAATGCTATGAGAGCGTGTGATTATATCTGTTCATGCAAATTTTATTTGCGATAGTTATTTCAATATTTAAATTTCCCTGCATCGTGTCGAATGGTAATGGCGGGTCATTTGACTGTATTTGTAAACAAACTATGTATTGCAAAAATTAAGAACAATTATATTGCAGTACCAATTATATTTTTTTTATTTGCATTTCAATTCGGAAAGATATGTTAGTCGAAGATACCTTCACATTGGTAATATTTGGGATGTCAATTATTAAAATATTTGGCATTGTTCCAAATAAATATTTGGAAATGCAAAAGATTAATACAATAAATATAGTTAAATTAAATGAATAATTGATGTCTGTACAATTGATTTATGTCACCGAAATTGTCATACTTCTAAAAACATCTAGTTATGAAAGAAACTTTATTCGAATGTTTTATTTTGTTGCAAGATATGAATTTATAAGGAAGTAGAGAGCATAAGTTTGAGATCTATCAAAAGTTTGAGGGCACTGTGTATGTTGCAATCATAACTTGCATTAAAATAAGACTTATGTATAGGGAAAATTAGTTGTGTAAAGAAGTAATGTTATTGAGCTCTAAAGGTTTAGAATTTAGTCTGCATAGGATGAGAGAAAAATCTCTAGGTATTTTCTTTCATAGCATATGTCATGCATTACATTATAAAAGTTTCCTATCCAGAGTTGGTGAGTTTTTGAATCAGCCATCATAGCTGAAATAAATCATGGATGATCAAGTTTTTTTTAACAAGCAAGAACATTTTTAGAATGCTTTGATAGTTTGTAATGGTAGGATACAAACATTAAAATTTTGAGACAGAACTATAGGGTGAAGTATTTAATGTACGTGTATTGATTTAACTCTCTTCTCCCCGCTTATTTATATGAACATAACATGTAAGTTATCTGTATAAATAACTTTTATGCTAATGAATTTAAAGTAAACAAAATAATCGTTGTTATTATTATTACAGGCATTGAAAATGGTAACAGTACTGAGGTAATGCTCCAAGATTGTAACACAGTGACAGTATCATCTGAAGCTGATTTAGAAGAAAACTCCAATACCAACTCAAACTTTGGTGATATCCCAGTGGAATGTAATAGTGTTAAATCACATGTTTTAGATAAAGTTGACAACCTGGATTCAGACATTGTCAGTCATGATCAGGATGTGGCAGCATTGCTTGGTAACTCTGTACAGTCAAGTGATAATGCCCTTCCTACAATAACCTTGGCATCTGAGGACTTCAGCAGTGAAGTTGTGACAAGTGTAACACATACTGTCTCTAATTCTAATGAAGTGACTACCACACAATCTCTAAAAAGACAACTCTCTTCAACTACCCCTCCAGTTGTACATAAAGTCATAATAACTAAGAATCCTAATAGTGATCAACCTCAGGTCATGCCAGTTCAAGTGAATCAGCTGGGACAACTCCAGCTGCAACCTGGACAGAGTTATAGTGTGGCCTCCTCAGGGGGCATAAGTCTTCTACCTCAGGGAGCACAAACACCAACAAAAACAATCACTATTTCTCCACAGGGTGTTCTGTCTCCAGGAAAACAATATGTTACTATACCTACTACACCTACTAAATTGTTAGGTGTGCCAGGAAATAAAATACCAATCTCTCCAGCATCAAAAACTCCAACTAAAATAACCATGATCCCAGTGACTATTGGAAAATCTCCTCAAAGACTTGTACCAGCATCTTCTGTGTTGAATAAACAAGTGAATATTTCATCAGGGGCTGGAGGGTCTCGTCCAACACTGATTACGATGTCACCTTCAAAGGTCATGAAAGAAGGCACAGTGGTAAGAAGAATATTGGAAGTTGAAAACTTGTGTATCTAAATGAATGTGAATTTTAACATAGTTTTAAAAAGAAAGCCTTGCTCACTGGGTTGCAACTTGCATCCTACTTGAAGGTTAGATCTTAAAAGTTCATTAGGAATAATGATGTGGCAAAGTAGATAATACGTAGGTTCAAAATAGTTTATTTCATTTCAATATTTGGTTTCAGAAGTTGAGAATTGTCAATACATTTTAATAGGTGTGTCTTATTTTTAGGTACAGCAACGACCAATCCAAATTCAACCTTCACAAGCAAAACAGATTATAACAGTGCCAACTGGCAGTGGAGTTAAACAAGTCCAGATTCCAATTTCCATGCAGGGCAGTCGATTTCAGTATGTTAGACTGGTATCTCCTAGTTCACCGGCAGCCATGGCTGCAGGCGGTAAGTCATTTTAAACCACCGTTTTCTGGTATCTTCTAGAGCATCTAGCTGTTTGACTTATCTGTTTTGATTTTTCTGTTTATATTTTCAATTTTTAAAATAAAATAATGGGGATTCAAAAACTGGCCATCCAAGTAGCTATTTATTGTAAAGATATATGTTTTTGTTTTCTCTATATTAAAAAAATTACTTTCTGTTTTTAACTGGAATTTATTTGTTTTTGTTAGTGTCTAAAGGCACCACATTGACATCTTTAGTTCAGTCAGCGAAGTCCATAGCTCCGGCCCTGAGTACATCTACTGTTGTTTCTCAGGCTAATCTCCAACAACTGAAGATCACACTGCCAGCCCAAGGAACATCACAAATTGTAATAGCATAGGATTTAAACAGATTCGCATACATTGTATAGTGTACTGTTGATTATTTTAAGCAATGCTGAACAGGAATCTATGCTATGGATTCATTGTTATACAATTTGCATAAATTTTTATTAATCTGACAGTTCTTGATTCCTTTGCTTTTGTAGAAATTACAAATTTCAAATGTTTAGGGAGAAAAAAAAATTATTTATGCTGTCATTCTGTACAAAAAAAAAAAAAATTTGAGACATGTATACTGCTATAAATTCCATAGTATAGAAATCTTTCGATTGATAAAAAATTAACCCTTAGTTGTACTCTTTTTGATCATAAAGGCACATGTATAAGTTATATATTTAAAAAACGTAAAATTTATATACAGAATAATAGCATATTTTCTGAGCAAAGAAAGATTCCTTAACTGTAACTTGCTTTAAATAATTTTTTACTAATTTCAGTTTTTGTCTTCTTTTATGTTACTATTTAAGGTTACTTCGAAACCCCAGACTACACAGAATGTTCAGCGAATTTTATTGCCAGCTGCTCCTACTCAGCAAGTAGCAATCCGTGTTACAACACCAAATCTTGCTACTTCAACATCAGTAGCACAGATACGCCCCGCAGGTTCCAGTGTGACTAACATTACTGGCCTACCTCCAGGCACCACTTTGCTCTCAGGGGCATCAGGTCTGCAGGGATTTGCTTTGGTCCCAGCTTCATACATGACACAGGTTAGATAAAGAAAACTTTCAAATTCTTTTTTTTTAAAAAATTAGAATTTGTTATATTTCTTGTATTTCTTTATTATAAATGATACATCGATTTTAGTTACAGCAGCAGCAGATGCAGCCAAAAAGCATCACAGTGCAGCAACCCTCTCTGCCTTCAGCAACCACAGCAGCAGAACCCCAGTCTGTTATACAACAACAGAGACAGGAGTTTGTACCTATTGCTAGCAGTGACCCTTCACTTAGTGCTAACCTCAAACAAAGTGTTAATGGGTAAGATGGCATCTATTTGTATAAAACTTAGTATAAACTTGTTTTAGATCACGATAGATACATGGGTGTCTTCCACCTATATTCTCACTTTAAAAATCTCAATTTCACCTATTCCCTCTTGCAAATAACAATCAATGTTTTGTTAGTTAATTTGTTTTTTGGCACTTTAGGATAATTGCATCCCACCTTGATTTGCCTGTATTTTGTACATTTCAAGACAGGAAAATAAATAGATTTAAGAATTTTAGAAAATAAAATAAATATGTTTAAGAAAAAATATGACTTAATGCACTGAAATATAAAATAAATGTGCATTTTTGATATGGATTTATTGTTTATATTTATTTATCATGTTCATATTCTGTGCTCCTTAAATAGTTTGAATCTGTCCTGCATAAATAAGGTCTTATGCATTATGTTTTTCAACTAAATAATTGATATAAATTAATTGATTATTTTTCTTTCAAATATTGGTAAAAAATGAAATTTACCGTATTTGGCTGAGTATAATACGCACTTTTTTCCCAAAATAATTTTCTGTGAGAAAGGGGTGCGTATTTTACACCACAATGGGATTTTGATAGGTTTTTCTTTCATGTGAAACACGGCTATTGTACGCACATACCGAAGTATTACCTAGAGACTCATGCAATTTCTTGCTGTTTATCGCCGTATTTAAAACTTCGGAAAGTTATTGTTGGAATGTAGGCTTGTTAAAAATGGTATATTTATAACCTTTTGATAGTTAAATTAAATTTAAAAGCAAGTTAAAATTAATTTGAGCTGAATGTTCATCGTCTCCTTGCAGGCTGCCATTAACGATGTTATTTATAGGCTAGATGTTCACACATTCCTTTGCCACGTGCTTCCGTAATCATAGTACACATGTACCTAATCAGTCAGACACCGGTCAAAAAAGTAATAGGTCATTTTTTAATGAAATACAATAAAATAAAATTTATTTTAGGTTTTAAATAACTCAGCGAAAATTCATTTCAACATAAACACCCCTCTATACGTCCCAATGAATGGAAGCCAATGTTGTGAACACGTGCGCTTGTCACTTGATAATTACCCCTCAACACCCCTCCAGGCAATTAAATTGTTTACTAACTCCAAAGCTTTGTTTTTACAGTTAGAGCACTGATTATTTACTGCCCTTATTAATGGCTTTGATTATTTTCTTTGTTAAAAATCGGGGGTTGGTTTATGATCTTTCGTATGTATAAGCGTGTGTTGATAACGACACATTAAACAGTTAAACGCTTGTAAAATGTAATTTTACTTTATCTTACATCGGCCACGTGTTAAAATGATTGAGAGTTAAAAAAGGAAATATGAAGTATGTTGAAACTTAAGTGTTATCATTTACTCGTGCTCTGTAGAAAATAAGATATCCACGAAGATTACCTCGATGTATGAAGACATATATCCCACCTTTGTACATCATTTTTTACAGCTTTGGAGGTGTGTTGATAACTTTACACGCTTGTTAAATTTTGATTTTATTTTTATAACATCAGCTTTTTATTTAATTAATTAATTTCAAGTTCAAAAGAGGAAAATCGTAGTCTATGAATACTTTGATGTTGCAATATCACTTGCCCTGTTAAATTTACATAATTTTCAACATGATTACCTTAAACTAAAAATAAATATGACAACTGTTAAACTTGCAACAATATCTCGTGCTTTGTTGAAATAAAAATTATTTCAACAAAGAATAGTTAGAATACGGCGACGTATAATTTCAATATCACCGTATGCTAAAAAAAATTAATAATAAACTCTGTTAATACTTTAATGCAACATTATCTCGTGCTTTGTTAAAATAAATAATTTCCTCCAGATTGCCGCGATATGGAAAGTCGAGATTAAGAAATAAAAACGCATTTGAATAAAATATCGTGTTCTGTAAATTTTCGGCACTTTATCTCCGCGCCGATTTTCATAGCAGATTACCGCGATTTTCAAAAGTTCAGAACACCGCATGGTAAAATTTTCTGCTGCGTATAATACAACCGAACTGCGTTTTTTCCCCCAGTTTCAGACTCAAAAAGGGGGTGCGTATTTTACACCAATGCGTATTATATTCGGCCAAATACGGTACAATAAAAAAGCCAATTTACCTGTCCTCCATTCCAATGGAAATCACTGTTTATACAGTTATTATATGTTTATACAGTTAATTATATGTATACACATGTATCCCACATACAATTTCACCTTTTTCTACCTGATTTTCCAAAAGTGGGAATAGGTAGAATAAACTGATACATGTGTCAACTTGTTAAGTTACATTCAGACATAATTTTTTAAAAGATTTTTTCTCTGAAAGCTCTTTTTTCCAGTGAATATTTGTTAAAGTAGAAGTCAAGTACGCAATAGAATTTGACTTATTATAGAGTATCAGTATTAAAACTGAATCATTTTCTTTAGGTCTGCAATAGAAGCCACAGGAGCCAGACCTAGGAAGCCGTGTAACTGCACCAAATCTCAGTGCTTGAAGCTGTAAGTAATCAAACCCTGACAATAAGATCATTTTGTGAGCTTGCTTAGAGTATTTCCAGAGTCTTTGCAAATTTTGTTTTTAGGATTTCTTTAATAAATATAAGATCAATTCTGAGCTATCGGTGTTTTCCTAATAATATTTTTATTGCAAGTAGAAATTTTGTTCAGTAATAGGCAGTGCTCTCGTGAGTTACTTACATGTTCATTAAATAGGTGTTTACTAATGCATCAAGTGCTAATTTTGAAACAGATCTACAAATTGTAATAAGCGTAAATTGACAGCTATTACATTAAAACACCCAGTGACATGATTAACAATCAAGATCACCGTACCACATGTGGCCTCATGTGCATAGTAGGTACATACGAGGATTTTTGATAATTTCATATGAACAACATTATAAAAAGACATTTTTAATAATGCTATACCTGATGGATAGATGAATAGCAGAAAGTATAGCAACACTGATGGGGTATAGTCATATAGAAACAAATATACAACACTGAGTTGTAGTGAAAATTTTGTACAGCTCTATTACATGTTTTTAAGGTACGTGTATGTATCAGTATGTACATAATTTTATCTTTGTGTCTTAACATAGATATAAATAATAGGACTTCATTTTTAACTTTCTAGTTACTGTGACTGTTTTGCCAATGGAGAATTCTGTCACAACTGCAATTGCAACAACTGTGCCAATAATCTGGAACATGAGGAAGAGCGTTCCCGGGCCATTAAATCATGTCTAGACAGAAATCCTTTGGCATTCCATCCAAAGATTGGTAAATCTTTCAAGAGTTTTTGAAGTTTCATGTAAATAAGATGTCTGAAATGAGGAGGTATTCCTCTGAAATCAATACTTTGTACATATGATTAATTTGATAAGTTTTGTAAGTTTTCTGTTGCTTTTTGTAAAAAAATTATTGAAGATTGATTGGACATTGTAAATGATTGCTTCAGACAGTTTAGTTTTGCATTTTTGGTTTGTCCTTACTATGAATTTTTATGTTCATAAATTAGTGTAAGCTTTACTGTAGAAATTCATGAACTTTTTTAAACACAGGTAAAGGACGAGATGGAGAAAGAGACCGAAGACATAACAAAGGATGTAACTGTAAACGATCAGGATGCCTCAAGAATTACTGTGAATGCTATGAGGTAAGGTTCTCTTTAAAAGCCTTTTAGCTCACCTCGATAAAGTTGAAATGAGCTTATGCTATAACCCCCTGGCATTGGCATCCAGGTTAAAGTTTTAGAGGCAAGTCGATTCCCAAGCAACTTTGAGTCTTAAGTGGACCAAACTTGTATGGATGATGCATGTAGACCAGACTTGCTTCGGATGCTGGATGTGACCTATATTTTCTGGATGAGTGTACAGTTTTAAGTTTTTGGAGCAAGTCCATTCTCACGTAACTATATGTATTACCTAGACCAAACTTCCATGCTTATTGATCCTGGAAAAAACTAACTGGAAAAAAAATGGTGTTAGATTTGCCTTAGTTATAGATAATATTGGTTGAGGTGAGCTTCATAAGCTTTGATTACCTATGTTTTAACATGCTCCAGGTACATAGATATCATTGCAGTTTGTCTAACCTTAAATTCCAAAAGAATTTTTTTTCTTAAGATGATATATCTAGATTAAACATGTTTGACTGAAATATTTTCAGGCAAAAATTATGTGCTCAAGTTCCTGTAAATGCATTGGGTGTAAAAACTTTGAGGAGAGTCCAGAGAGAAAAACATTGATGCATTTGGCAGATGCAGCAGAGGTCAGAGTTCAACAACAAACGGCAGCAAAATCCAAACTCTCCTCGCAGATATCGGGAATTCCATCTAGGCGGCCTCAGGCCACAGCAACAGGAGAAAGGTGGGCAGATTGAAGCAAAATTCATTATCTTGTCCTGGATTGAATTAAGGTCTCTTTATCTGTGTGTACTGTAAAAGAACTATGTAGGTATGTATGATGTTAAAGACTAATTATTATGAATAACATTTAGCACATAGTGCTTGAGAGGAAGTGCAATACTGTGTTTGACAATTTATTGTCTTCATCCTTTCAATTGTCCTGGGTGCTTTGAAAATTAGAGGAGTGCTTATTAAGTCTGGCTGCTATAAAACTTATCCTGAATAACAGACATGTACAGTAGAATGTATTTAAATGTGCACTTCTAACACAATACAGTTCATTTTATGATATCCACGTTGATATCAACCCATGTCAACCAACAACCGTTTAGACAAAAAGATGGTTGCTAATGGTATAGTATGCCCAAGTCAATGTACTGAAATATGTCCAAAAATTCTGCAGTTTTTCACATGTATGGAAAGTGGATTAAATGTAGAACCCTAATTACTGCTTGTATATAAGACAGGTCTTGATTATTTTGTGAATTACACCTTAGATCAGTAACCATGGATAGGATTATAGTTTACTCTCCATTGAACATGACACCAAATTGTATAATACATTTCTCTGCTCAAATTATTAAGAATGTATCTATTTGATTATGCATCAATTTTTGTTAGCTTAATAAACATAAAATTTATGCTACTTGCTTGACTAATGCTGACTTATTTAGGATATAAAGAGGTGGTGATCAATATTTATTGAAAAATATAAAGTTATATATATAATTAGGTTTCGAATTTAATTAAGACCCAAACTAAATAAGGTTTATTAAATGTGGATTTGTTTGTAGATGGGAGTTAACAACCGCACGCATTAATTACTTTTGGTATAAGGCCAAACAAAAAATATGTTTGTTTACTGTTACATGCTGAAATAAAATAGGGTCAGTAGGTAGGAATTTTGTTTTATTTATTGAATTTTTTTAATACACAAATTCACATGAATTAGTTGAATTACAAAACAGTTTTACCATTGTTTGGCGCTTTACTTTTGTTTGGGCTTGCCGTATGGGTGATAGACAATATCTTTCTTGCCAATTGCCTTACAGCTACCACACAATGGTAAAACTGCAACAAACTTGTTGATGTAGATACTAAAACACACCATTTCTAGTACTTTCGATTTTGATTTCAAACGACCAATTAAGATGCATGTAAAAGTTAGAGTGATATCCAGATTTTTACGACGAAAAAAAATTTGTGTCGGCGATTAAATATAGGGTCGGTCGGGTAACCGTAAACAAACATATTTTTTTATTATGCCTAAGGCAGATGTTAGGATTAACAGATAAGCTGTAATATCTACCTTAATGTGCTAAATCTGAAGTACTTTTATTTTTGAAGTGATTAAAAACATTGGAAATTTATCCACATGAAATTGTTTTCAGTACAAAAACGGAGAAATCTGTTCCCAACAAAATTAAATATATGTACAGTATTAAAACAAATAGAAACATACTTTTATAAACACATCGCCAATAAAAGAGGTACATGCATTTCCATTCTAAAAATTTAAAAAAAAAAAAAAAAAAAAAAAAAAAAAACGGCAAAGTACAATATCATATTCAGAAGAAATAAACAATGTACCGGTAAACACTCTACATGTATTTAGAAATTAGATAAGTCATTCCAAGTATTATTAAATATGGTCAATAGATAATGGTAATCCTTTTGTTAAATTGAATAGTAAGACATATTAAGGAGGGAGGGGGCTTACTCTTAGTGAATTGAAAAAAAAGGTTCCAGGGGGTTCTTAAAGGAGTAGGGACGCATAAAAAAAGTGAATATGGTTTATTCACAATTTGTAAGTTTGAAATCCATCCACAGCTATTAATTTTCACTAGTTCAGAAACATTCCACATAATCACACAATCAAATAAATGGTTCGATAAATATTCACAAGTATCAGAAAATCCTGAAACTTGCTGATATTTCTTGCATGCAAGTAAATTTGGTTTACAGCATCTTAACATCAGTATGATTTTGATGAGGGGAAATTTAAGTTAAGAAAAAATAAAAGAAAGTTATCAATGGCTTGTATTTTAACTAGCAGAAGTGATGCTATACAATATTTCCCCTATACAGTAGAAAATATTTACCTTGAATAAGTAAATGATTTATAAAGCTTAAGTATTTCAAGGGATGTGTTCAAGAGCTAATTCATAGTGAGGACACTATGTCCTATTAATTTCTCTTTAAGTAGGAATGAAAATAAATAAAATGATTTCAGGTTGCCCTATACATTTTTAACGGCGGATGTTGCTGAAGCCACTTGTGCCTGTCTCTTGGCTCAGGCTGAGGAAGCAGAGAGATTAAAGATGCCACCCGTCGTACAGGAGAGGATGGT